GGGGCCCCCCCTTTTAAAATCCAGGGAAACCCCCCCCCCCCCCCCCCCCCCCCCCCCCCGGGCCAAGATTGCAGCGCAATATAGGGGGTTTAGGCGGCACGCTTGCAGCAGTTTATTGTATAGGATTTAGTGTGTCCATAGTAAAACCGATATTCTCTTCATTGAATAGACTTTCGTGCCGCATTCTAAAACCCATAAAATTCTCTTCATTTGTAGGCTTCGTGCCGTCATACTAATTCCTACACCATGCACTAGACCTCGCGACCAAGGTTGACGCGTACTCTTGGGGTGTTTCCATAATGTCCACTAGCTCTCTGTGTGGTATCCCGCGCGCGCGCGCTGAAAAAAGCGCCCGAAAATGTCGAAACCCCGGGGATTTTGTCAAAATGTCCCCATCCAGGGACATATATATAAGGCCCATCCCCCCCCCCCGCGACCAAGATTGCAGCGTGGCCCAGGGGTGTTCCGACGTTTCCAGATGGAGGGCCCCTTGGCTAATGTAATGGTTCGATTCACCTCTTACGAATTAACAGAAAGAAACGGGGTTTTCCCACGGGCAAAAGTTTTCCGCCATGGTGTTGGGGTCTTCATTACTCTCCAACCTTTGGGGGAGTGTGATCTCCAGACGAGCAATGCGACACGATGATGGCTTGCCTCTATCGAAATCAAGGCTCGATGTCCGTGGACTGCTGTGTTCATGGGGCTTGATGCCGTGCGATCACGGACTACCGTAGATGCGGCTTCGTTCTTTCGTCCTCGTCTCAGAGCGTGGAAATCCGTGTGCCAACCGGACCGGAGGATTCTTCAAGCAGGTCCAACCACCACGCCAACAAGTGGAGCGGACGACCACGGCCAACCGCGTGGGGACCATGAGATCCCTGCAGGCGCCCTAATTTCTGCAAACGCCAGATACACGGGGCAGTAGCATCACTTTCTATCTTCACCACATCATGAGTGCCTATATATGCAGCACACAGTGGAGGAATCAACGTTGTCAACCTCTGGGCGATGCTGACACACCCACACGCAGGGAAAAACGCGCTTCGTGACACATTTTGTGGGCCCGGGCTACATACACCAGACGCAGTGCGTGCCTGCTGCAAAGGCTGGGGGGAAACATGTCTTAATTCGCCTTGCTCGGCTTTGTTTATTGGCACGAGCTTACAGTCTCTCATCTCAGGGCAAATTCGTGATGGACAAAGAGCTCTCACGAAACCGGCGACTGAGCAACTCATTTATTCTGGCAACAGACAGAGAGAAAGCACCATCGGACCTTTGGTCCTTGAATGTGCTTCGGCACCAGGACAAACCACCTCTCGCGCACCTACTTGTCGTTGTCGCAAACACTCCCACGAGCACAACATTTGACAAAAAAGGACGCTCCGAAGCGTCTGTACCCAACGAAAGACCTGCCTCAAAGGATTAACCAGATCAGCATCAGTGATGGCCGACACAAGAAAAAAAAAGAACCCAAAAAAAAGGCGAAGAAAAACGACACCTCTGGATCCGGGACTGTCACCAGGACGGTCACCCAACTGAGAGCAGCGGTGTCGCAGGCTAATACAACCCTCACAAAAGAAAAGAACGCAAGCCGAGGTGCGGGCACGTCTCGCAAAAAAAAGAAAATGGTTAGAGTACAGGGAGGGCACCGAGCCCAAACGCTAAAATATGCTCCGTTGGCACGATCTTCGTGCTGTTTCCTAGGAAGGAGTTTCTTTCGCCGACGTCAGTGTACGTGTAACGGTGCCAGCGTCCTCTTTTTGTTCTTGGGGAACCCAGCGTGGGCTTCTTTCTAGATTTGGGGATTTCGGGTGTTCAATTTTCTACCATGAAAGCCCAGGCTCCACGCAAGGAAACCACCCGAACAGAACCGTGGTACTCGATCTCTTTTGCCAACCGCTAGATAACACCGATTGGGGGGGGGGAGGAGGGGGACACGTACATGAAAATGGAATCGAGGTGCGTGTTCACTCGTCCCGGTACCCGGACCATCACCCTCCTCCCCCGACAAAAAGCACCACTAAATTACAACACCCGTCTCACTAAACTGCTCGGGCTTCGTTCGCCGACCCTACCCCATCACAACACGAAAATACCTCTAACTGCACCGCTTCTTCCACGGCAGCGAAACTGACAAAAGTATAACACCATTCAACAAACGCCCGCCAACGGCATGCGCCCAGCGGACGCCGGGACCTGCCTCTCCCGAGAGCCCTACCCGACTCACGCCCTTGCCACCGAAGAACCACCCTTAGCCGCCTCTCCGGCGCCCTGCTCGTCGTTGGCTGGGTCCGATTGCCGGCGCTTGTGCGGCGGGGGTACATGGGGAGGGAATTCTGCGCCTCCCGATTGATCGCCAACACTGACGCTACCGCCCCCGCCCCCGCCACCACTGCCACCGCCGCCGCCTCCGCCGAAGGGGTTGATGTCGGCGTCCAGTCCCGCGAATGGACTCTCCTTGAAGAAATCTTCGCCGAGAGGGCAGGGGGGGGGGGGGGGGGGGGGGGGGGGGGGGGGGGGGGGGGCACCAGCGAGGACGGGGAAACT